GGGGAATTTCCTCTATTGGACTGGCCTGTGGCTATGTCTGGGGGGCATCTTCTTGAGTGATGTGGGAGGGCCCAGCCCACTGTGGGTGGTGCCACCCCTGGGCAGGTGGGCCTATGTTGCATAAGAAAGCAGGCTGAGCAGGGGTCAAGGGAGCAAGCCAGTAAGCAGCATTCCTCCATGGCTTATGCTTCAGCTCCTGCCTCCAGGTTCTTGCACTGAGTTCCTACCTTGGAGTCCCTGATGAACTATGACCCAAGAGATGTAAGATAAATAAACCCTTTCCTCCCCAAGTTGGTAGTGGTCAGAGTGTTTTGTCACAGCAATGAAGAAACAAGCTAAGACAATACTAGATATTCTTTCAGTATTGATTTATGGCCCAGTTCTCCTGTAGTCAAGCAGTACACTGTGTGTGATTTCATTGACTGTGTTGAGCTACCTTGGGGTTCATTTTGTCAAGCCCGTGTGTCCTTGAAGTGAATCTGTCCTGTGGAGTTGTTGCATACAGTTTCCAGAAACTTGTCAGGCTTGCTAATCTCCATCGTGTCTTCAATACCAGGATTTTCTTCTGAAAACTGACTCATCTGTGAGCTGTTCGCAGAGGTGTGGAGCTTCTCCCACTGCAGTTATGGATCTGTCTACTTTGTCCTTTTATTTCAATATTTATTTCATACATGTTGAAGTGATCCACGCGAACTTAGCGGAGGTGTGTCTTCTGGCTGATTGACTCTTTCATTAACTGTTCCTTTGGGGCTCTTGTGGATTTCTTGTCTTGGAGTCAACATTATTTCACTTTGGATCGGCTTCCTTCTGGCTAAGATGCACGTGCTATATCATCCTGCTATGGGGAGCCTCTATGTTTTTTATGAGAATATGTAGTTGGTTTATATTGCTGAATCTATTTTGATGAGCTTTGTATTTTAGTTGAAGCATTTATGCTATCTAACATATTACTGATACATTTGGGTTTAATCCACCACCTTACTCTTTGTCTATTTGTGAAAATTGTTCTACGTGACATTTTTTCTCTGATTATTGCTTCAATTTTGGGTTAACAAAGGGTTATGGATTGAATCAAAAATGTCTCCCAAAGGCTCATATGCTGAAGATACAGTTGCTGGCATGTGGGACCACTGGGGGTAGGAAACTTTAGGAGGTGAAGTCTAGTGAAAGGAAGATGGATCACTGGAGACATGTATTTTTAAGAAATATTGGAGTGCTAGGAAGATAGCTCAGTCAGTAAAGTACTTGTTGATAAACATGAGGACCTGAGTTCAGATCCCCAGCACCCACATTAAAGCTGGGTGTGATGGTCTACACCTATAATCTGGGAAGGTGAAGACAGGTAGATACCCTGGGGCTTGCCTGCCCAAACAATCTAGCTGAATTGATGAGTTCCAGGTTTGGTCGAGAGACAGTCTCAAAAATATAGGTGGAGAGTGATTGAAGAAGACAGCAATATCTACCTATGGCCTTTATACCAGAGAGAGAGAGAGAGAGAGAGAGAGAGAGAGAGAGAGACAGAGACAGAGAGAGACAGAGACAGACAGAGACAGAGAAAGAGACAGAGAAAGAGACAGAGACAGAGAGAAAGGAAAGGGATATTGGGACTCCAGTCCCTCCTGTCTTTGCTTCCTGACCACCATGAGGTGGGGTGATTACCGTAAAGGTTACAACATGCATCTATTAGACTTGTTAAGTCTTTTAGAAAATAACCTTGTTAAGTCTATTAGAAAATAACCTTGTTATTATTTCTCAGACCATACAAGAACCTTAAATCATTTTGATCCTGTTAGCCCCACCTGCCTCTTGTGCTGCTGCTGCCAAATTAATTAATCAACACATATAAATACACACAAATTAATGCACACACAGTTGTTGTTGTTGCTGTAATACTGGACCTCAAACCCAGAGTCTTCCTCATGGTAGGCAAGCAAATGCTCTGGCACTGAGCCACCTCAGTAGCTCGTAATACAAATACTTTAGTGCACACTTGAAGCCTGTATTAGTTACTTTTCTGTTGTTGTGATAAGACCCCATGACCAAGGCAACTTACAGAAGGAAGAGTTTATTTAGCTTACGATTCCAGAGGGTTAGAGTCCATAATGGTTCCCAAGGCAAGTGGCTGGAGCAGAAAGATGAGCAACTACATCTTCAAGCAGGCACAGGAAGCAGAGCAAAATAGGAAATCCAGCAAGACTTAAGAACACTCACAACCTGTCCCAGTGACGTGCTTCCTCCTGCAAGGCCACATCTCCTAAAACCTCCCCAAAATGGCACCGCCAACTGGGTACAAAATTTCCAAATGCTTGGAGCCTATGGGGGACATTTTCATTCAAACCACCACAAAACCCATAAGACATTATTATTGTTTCACACAGTGGATTTGCATTTAGGTTTGCTTACATTAGAGTTTCCCACTCTATCTCCTTCATTTCTTCCTCAACCTCCACAGATTTACCTGGTGTTATTTTTCCTTTGGTTTGAAGAACTTCTTTTAGTACTTGCATCTCATGGGTTTTTTAGTAACACATCACCTCTGCTTTTTTAGATATTAAAAAATTGACGTATATGTGCATGTGTGTCTGTGAGTTTATGAGTCCCATGTTTCTGCAGATGCCCTTGAAGGCCATAGGGTGTCAAACCCCCTGGACCTGGAGTGACAGGCAGTTGTGAGCTGCCTGATGTGGATGCTGGGAACTGAATCTGGATCCTTTAGAAGAGCAGTAATCACTCTTAACCATGGAGCTATCTCTCCGTCCGCAGTTACCTCTGTTTTTGTTTGTGTACAATGTCCTCATTTCATCTTCATTTTTTTTTAGTGAACATAGACTACTGTCATTTTTTTCAGTCCTTTGAAAATGTTGTGTCATTATCTTCTCACTTCCTCATTTTTGTGGAGAGGCTTATTGATGGCTTTCAAATGTAGTGTACCCGTTATCCTCCAGTTGGGTTGAAAATTTCCTCTGTCTCTGATTTTCCATAGTCAACGTGCCCAGAGGTGGTTTCCTCTATAAACGATACAGATTGGCCCTGACAATGCTTGTCAGTGTTGGAAAATTCTTCATCGTTACTCTTCAAACGCTGCCTCTGAATATTCTTTCTTTCCTCCTCTTTGGGATTCCAAGCATGCGTCTGCACCTTTCTTATAACTCTTATGCCCTAATTAGTCTCTCTAAGGCTTTCAGCCCTTTGGGAAGACCCATCCGGAAGCCAAGACTATCTACTTTCCCCTTGAACTCTGATTTATATCTTGTCAGTCTTTGGAGGCTGTTGAAGATTTCACTCAGCTTTTCAACCTTTTGGCCACTGTCTTGAAGTTGGCAAATGTCTAACAGGGAAAAGCAGAGACAGATGTGAGCCTCATCTCACCGGGCTTCCCATACCTCTGGATTCTTGGCTCCTTGAGGCCTTGCTGCCTCAGTAGCCTTCCAGTGTTGAGTTTCACCTAATGATAGGAACACATTCTTATAAATGCATTAGGGAGTGGTTTGGTCATTGTTTAAACATCACAGACTGTTCCCACATAGACCTGGATGGTATCGTCAGTGCCTTAATGGCCTTTTGATGCGATCCAGAGACTTGTATACAAGCTGTGGGAGGCTGCTGCAAATGTGACATAGCACTGTTCTCTAGTCAACTTTGTTCATAAGTAGAAGCAACCCACAGTAAAGTAGTGATAAACCATATAGTGAAAGCTGGCATGGTGTCTCATGCCCGTAATCCCAGCATTTGGGAGACTGGCAGGAGGATCACTATGAGTTTGAGTCAAACCTGAGTTACAGAGTGAGACCATGTCTGAAAACACCAAAACAAAGACAACAAAAGGATAGAGTAGTAATTATGTAAGCCAGTACCATACATATCACTAATTACCCTATCAAATATGCTGTGCTTAAGTGTGTACCGCACCTATAGACAAAGGCAGTTTGATAAGTATGTTTCCACCCTCATCAGCACAAACATGAGGAATTCATTGTGCTGTGATGCTGGGATGGCTACTATGCTACTAGGTGATAGGAATTTCTCAGTTCCATTATAAACTTATGGGACCATTGTCATAAACATGGTCTCTCATTGAGCAAAATGTTGTGCAGAGCATAACAGTGCCTGTTCTAAATATTATATCTACTTTTTATAGTTGTTTTGTGGGATTTATCAAATACAAGCAAGTTTGCCTTAGCCGGAAACAGATGTGTGGCTTAGAGAAACACAAAAGGAGGTTTCTGTTCCTTAGGACTGACGTAGAACTTAGACGTAGAATTGAGAGTGTGGGTCTGTGCCACACTGAATCCAGGCTAAACTTTGGCCTTTTCAATATGTGATGGTGGACCACCGATATTTTTAAATTTTATTATTTATTTATTTGTTTTTATTGTATGTGTATGAGGGTTTTGCCTACATGCATGTAAGTGCACCCATGCCTGCAATGCCCATGGAGGCCAGAAGAGGGTGTCAGATCCCCTGCAACTGGAGGGACAGATGGTTGTTAGCCACCATGTGGGTTCTGGGAACCAAAACTGTGTCCTCTGCAAGAGCAGCGTTTGTTCTTAATTGCTGAGTCATCTCTCCAGCCCCACTACTGATATTTTGGCAACTCATAGGGCTGATTCTGCTCTGCCTACACTAACTGTGTGACTCTAGTTAAGTCCCTAATCCTCTTTGGATCTTCCTTTTCTCCTTTGTATAGTGAGAAATCCAATCTTGCCTCTTCCCTGCTCCCTGAGGCTCTTGTGGGAGGGGGAGGTGTTTGTGCACATCAGTGTGTTTTGGCGGGAATGAGTTGAAAGCACCTATGAAAGCATTCCAGAGGTGTAGAGGTATGTGGGCGAAGAAGATGAGAATTCAGACTGATGTGGCCAGAACTGAGGTGGGAGCAGAATGGATTGGGATACAGAACAGGAAGAGCTTTGCAGGCTAAGCCAGGAGGGTGACGTACCAGAATACTTTGCAGGAATCTGCAACCCTGCATCCTAGGCTAATGCCCTTCTCTTCCCTTCCAGCAAGCCCCTGCTGCTTTCGCTGGCCTGCCACCCCCCACCTCCTCCCAGCACAGGACAAAGATGGAGATACCTTTCAGCTCCCACCTCTACAGCTGTTTGGTCGTGCTCGCCTTCCTGCCTTCCCCGAGCCTGGCACAGTATGAGAACTGGCCCTACCAGTTTCAGTACCCCGAGTACTTCCAGCAGCCAGCCCCAGAATACTTCCAGCAACCAGCTCCAGAGTACCACCAGCCCCAGGTGCCCTCCGACGTGGTGAAGATCCAGCTGCGCTTAGCAGGCCAGAAGAGGAAGCACAATGAGGGCCGCGTGGAGGTCTATTACGAAGGCCAGTGGGGCACTGTGTGTGATGACGACTTCTCCATCCATGCTGCCCACGTTGTCTGCCGGGAGCTGGGGTATGTGGAGGCCAAGTCCTGGATTGCCAGCTCCTCCTACGGCCCAGGGGAAGGTAAGAGACTGCCCTTTAGAACAGAGTGCATGTCACCAGGCCAGGCCAGAGCACCCTTCCCTAGATCAACCTACAAAGGAAGCTGTACTTGCAATTAGGCATGGATTCTGGAGAGTTTCTATCTGCCCTGAAGGCTGTGTCCTGCTGGGAGGTGGGTGGGAGACCCAGCCGGGAGGGACAGGGAGTGTAACCATCATGATTTTTCTGGAATGTTCCTGGTTGGTTTGAGCACAGAAAGTCTCAGGCACATCAAGATGCTCGGTGGCTCCAGGCAGTGGGTGAAAACAGCCTGTGCCTATATCTCAGAAAGCCACATGCCTTGTCTGGGGGCTGTACTCACATCCCTTCTTCCAGATCTTTCCCTCAAAGCGGAGCTTTTGCTCTTTCTCACAAGAATTCCCCACAGGCTAGAGTTCTACCCATATAAGGAACATAATTATTATTGTCTGCGTGTGCAGGTGTGTGCACATGCGTGCAGGTGTCTGCGGAGGCCAGAGGTTCCTCACATGCTGTCCACATTTGTTTTCACACGATCCTACTTATTTCTGTTGCTGTGATTAAAAACACTGACCAAAACTAACTTGAGGAGGAAAGGGTTTATTTTATCTTACGTCTCCCAGGTCATAGCTCATCACTCGGGGGACGTCAGGGCAGGAACACACGACAGTACTTGGAAGCAGAAGTTGAAGCACAGACCATGGAGGAACACTGTTTACTGGCTTGCTCCTCTGACCTGCACCCAGTCTTTCTTATATAACCCAGGACTACCTGCCCAGGCTGGGCCCTCCCATATCACTTAATAATCAAGAAAATGCCCTCACAAACATGGCCATGAAGGAAATTTCTCAACTGAAGTTCCCTCTACCCAGGTGTGTCAAGTGGACAACTGAAGCTATCCAGAACAGGTCTCTCAATGGCCTGAAATTCAAGTAGGCTAGACTGACTGGACAGCAAGTCCCAGGGAATCTACCTGTCTCTGCCTCCCTAGCACTGTGATTACTAGCACATACCACCACACCTGACCTGAGCTCGTTATTTTAACCCCAAAAATGCCTTGTGGCATTAGTCAGCATGGGAACAGAGTCTTGAGTTTTCTTCTTCTTGCTTTAATGTTTAACTATCTTTTTTAAAAAAATATATTTTTATTTTATACATACTAGTGCTTTGCCTACATCTACATATGTGTACCACATGAGTTCCTGGTGCCCACAGAGACCAAAAGAGGGTGTCAGATCCTCTGAAACTGGAGTTACAGGTGATGTCAGCTGCCATCTGGATTCTGGGACCTGAATCCAGGTCCTCTGCAAGGGCAGCCAGTGCTCTTAACCACTGAACCATCTCTCCAGCCCCAGATTTTGAGGTTTTGTTGTTGTTGTTGTTTGTTTGTTTGTTTGTTTTTGAGGGGTTTTTTAGGGGTTGTTTTTTGTCTTTTTGAGACAGGGTCTCACTGTAACTCCAGCTGGCCTCACAGAAATCCACCTGCCTCTGCCTCCTGAGTGCTGAGATTAAAGTTGTGCACCTCCATGCCCAGTTCAGTGTGTGAGTTTTTAACCTTTAGTTGGCCTATTTGTTCCTCCTTGTGAGAGCCAGATCACAAACAAAAAACTGGAAAGTTGTAAGAGTTTTGAGGGAAGGCAGGTCTTAGTGACCCAAACTTTGAACTCAGTCCTTGTGCTGAGCTAATTATATAGTTGTACATTGCTTTCTAATGTGGGTATGATCTGAAAAATGAGTCACTAGTGATCTCATCATAGTGTGGCATCATAGAGAATTCTTACAAAAACAAAGACAGCTACCATGTCACTAGGCAACAGGGTTGAATGTGATGGAACCTTTGTCATGCATGCAATTCATCATTAAACAAAATCTTTTTTTGAATATTTTATTTTTATTTTATGTGTATGAGTATAGTGCCTGCATGTATGTAAGTGCACCTGTGTTGTGCAGTGTCTGCGGAGGTCAGAAGAGGGCATCAGATTCCCCTGGATGGTTGTTAGCTGCCATATGGGTGCTGGGAATAGAACCTGGGTTCTCTGCAAGAGCAGTCAGTGCTCTTAACCAGTGAGTCATCTCTCCAGCCCCAAGCAAAATCTTATATGGCAGGTGAATATAACTACACAGTGACTTTAACTTTGGTTTCCCCATCTGGAGATGGGCTCTTTAAAAGCTGGTGAACCCTGATAGTCTATGTTCCCAGTTGGGAATTCAGGTGTGGGTGAAGGGCATCATTTAAAAACAAATGTTCTTCTTGGGGCTGGGGAGATGGCTTAGCGGGTAAAGTGCTTGTTGAGCAAGCATGAGGACCTGAGTTGGATCTCCAACACCTACATAAAAGCTGGGCGTGATGACATACCCCTGAAGACCCAGTGCATGAGGATCAGATCCCTGCAGCTCATCGGCCAGCCAGTCCAGCCAGTTAGTGAGCCCCAGGTTCAGTGAACGACTGTATCAAAAACAAAGTTGGGGCTGGAGAGATAGCTCATTGTTAAGAGTACTTGCTTCTCTTTCAGTGAACCTGAGTTGGGTTTCCAGCACCCATGTGGGATGACTCACAACCACCTGTAACTCCAGCTGCAGGGGATTGGAGGCCCTTTTCTGGCCTCTGTGCTCACACACACACATACACACACACACACACACACACATAAAACAAAAATAAAATAAAGTGAAGGAAAACATCTGGCATCAACCTATGGTGCCCACACATGCACAGATGTACACACACACACACACACACACACACACACACACACGCACAGTTCTTCCAGGAGCTGCATCCTCATCCCTAGGCTGGTAATGCAAAAGCACCTGCTCCCCAGCTGAGCTATCCACAGGCATTGCCATGATAGGCTGCTGGACTAGAGTGAAATGCCCTCTGTTCCTTCCTGGACTAGAGGTCAGTGTCACATTAACTGCATAAAACTCTCGTAAGTGAGCTTAAAAGTATAGAACAGTTCGCCGGGCACAGTGGCGCATGCCTTTAGTCCCAGCACTTGGGAGGCAGAGGCAGGTGGATCTCTGTGAGTTCAAGGCCAGCCTGGTCTACATAGTGAGTTCTAGGACAACTGGGGCTACAGGGAGACGCTGTCTCAAAAAGACCCCCCCCAAAAGTATAGAACATTTCAAACCCATCCCATGACATTCTAATCTCAAGGTCTGGGTGTGAATGTATCTGTAGCTAGGTTTGGGGGACAGTGAGATAGACAACAGTTAGGCTCCCTTCCAGACCTCCTTTCAGTTATTTGGAGATGACAGGAGACAAGGCACCATCTTCTGCATGCCCCACTTCTGTGCAGTGGGGAATTTCCTGTTGGAGGAACTGGCTCCTGAGCCTGCACTCAGAGTCACATATCCCAGAAGCTCACTCTGGTCTCCTTGGCAGAGGTGAGTGCCAAGGCAGCCAAGAGCAGCTCACAGATGCAGGGCCTTTAGAAACCACTTCCTGTCTTCTTTGACTTAAACTTCCGGTACTCTTCCATATGTCCACGTCTCTGTTTATTCTGCTATGACTCATCCTGTACTTACATTGGATTTATAGTTCCTGTTACAGACTCTTCTGTCCTCAATATGTTATGGCAAGTACTCTCCAATGTTAGCTTTATTTTCTCCAGTGACATGGGTTTCCCCAGTGACTCTGTCATCAGACAAGGTAGTTTTGGGTCCTTCCCACAGAAACCAGCATGGGGTGGCTAGAGAAGTGGGCTTACTTGGGTAGAATTTTTCTATCTAAGAATTCAGGAGAGTGTAGAGGACTTGAAGGGGAGTAAATAGAATCATGGAGTCCAAGCTGGGCAAGAAGGGGAAGGGTTAGCATACGGAAGAAGTGAAGAATCATTCAAAACTGCTCCAACTAATGGGGAGATCTCTGTTGAGATTGCCACACTAACAGACATGTGCTGGAAAGATGGTGGCAGGTGCAGATGCAAGACAGGAAAGTTAAGATGGAGACTGAAGAGGGTATTATTGTTCATAACCAGGACTGAGCCATGACCTTGAAGGGCAGCTGGAGCTGGTTAAAGGAAGGCCTCTTCAGAGAAGAGGTACAGTAACCAGGAAACCAAGAGTACTGGAAAGGCCATCTCTATGGATAGAGCAGCCATTGAGCAAGGGTTATGACAGTTGCAATTCAAGGAAAAGATAGAGAGAAATGAATGCTAGACAAACTGGACAGTGCAATGCCAAGGGCTTTAAGAGTCAAGCTGTCTGAGAGATGGGGAGATAACCAGTCAGCGAAGTGCTTATGAGGACCTGAGTTCAATCCCCAGAACCCACAAAGAAGAAGGAGTGAAGGAGTAAGAGGAGGAGGAGGAGGAGGAGGAGTATGCCTATAATCCCAGTGCCGGAAGGTGGAGACAGGTGGATGGATCCCTTGGGGCTCCCTGGCTAGTTGGTCTAGAGTACACCAAGAGTTTCAGGCCCGTGAGAAGTTCTGTCCCAAAATCTAAGGTGGTTGGCACCCAAGGAGTGACACCTAAGTTTGTCCTCTGGCCTCGATATACAAACACTTGTGCACACACAGTCATACACACACACACACACACACACACACACACACATACATGCACACACGCATGTGTGCACACACACACAGAGTTCAGCTGTCTGCATATAAAGTGGCACTTGGTTTGTATCATGAGCAAACTTCTAAATGTATTTAAATTTCATCAGCCTCAGTTGAGATTTTATTCTAGCACTGGGTACATGGTGGGCACTTGGTAAATATTAGCTGACTGACCTGCTTCGATGTGGGGAATATAGAAAACAGTTGGCAAAACAGCATGTGGTATGGTGACCAGAGTGTGGCCAGTGCTGTGGGAGGTGCCCAGTGGAATCTAACCTGTGAGTCAGGCTCTGTGGATAGACTGAGAATGATTAACAGGCTGCCCCTCCCAGAGTCCCCAGATACCTCCAAAGTTCAAAATGTAGTAATGAAAGGCAGCCAGCAGAGACCCCCTGGGTTTTCCAACACAACCTGTAAGCAACAAGCTTCAAAAGCATCT